TTTGGTTAGCACAAATATGCTGAGCCAATAAGGGACAGCCAGCTGTCCCAATCAGTTAGAAGATGCCTTTTGCAGGCTGGCAATATTTCCTTGATTGGTTTTTTAGCACATGGCCTTAGAGGCCTATAAGTAGTGCCCTCTCTTCACTCTAAGAAATAGATTTTGAGCACTATTCTCTGCACTAAGGTCTTGAAAAATACATCAGAATTCCATACCCAAAAACACTCTAAAAGTTCATCCGTTAGTGGCTGATCCAGTCTCTGATTTCAAAAGAAAAAGCTAGAATAAATTTTTGGGATTTCTGGTTTTACAAATTGAGACATGGATGGAGTGTGAAGCTGTGTGCATTGTTGTTTTTAGCTGTTGGTCTCCACTGATTTCTTGTTGAAGTTCTTTATTTTGTTGTTCTCTATAACCAGGTACTTTCTAAATTTTGAATGACGAAAATGAAATGCAAGCATGTTTTGAGGAATGTACTGATGATTTGAAGCTAATATTCAAATATTGGACTGCAGTTTCATATATTGTTTCTTACAAGTCTAGTTTGTTACTTTTTTTATTTCTTCTTTAATCTCTTCTTTTGAACTGAATATGCCAGATATGTTAACAGTCAGTAGTTTAGCAAGGATTTTCATATGTTAAGGTTAGGATTAGTCTACTGATTCCTTTAAGTTTAAGAATGTTGATTTAGGCCTCGTGTATGTTTATTTTTGCTGCTGAATCTGCGTAGTTTAGTCATTTAATTTCAGCATTGCTAGAATACTCTGTTGATATGAGAATTAGTATGCTTAATGAGTAGTTTTAAATCCATGTTCATATTACCACTGTCTGTAGCAGGTCGTTTAAATTTAGTTCATAATCTGCTGTTCATGTCTAGTATTCTTGTATCGTGTTTCTGTGTTTCTTAAGGGCGATTGGGCCCAGTCTAGGCCTATATGAGGCAGCCCGTTTACGAATGGGTTCAGCTTTTGCTCTTGTTATGTTTCGCTCCTTGGGCTCAATTCTGAGCCCTATCCGGCATTGTCAAGTTGTTAGGATTTGCATAATGGAAGTGTTTCTTTCTAACATTGAAAATTTGATCATGAGCCCAGTATTTGACCCTTTGAAATTTTGGGTGACCTCTTGCCGTGGTCCTCGCTGGGCTTGACGTTGAGCCCAGTATCCCTTGTTCTCCTTTACAAGATCTTTAAATAACATGGGGTCTACTGCTGGCCCAGAATTCCTTTAAATAACTAAGCACCTCGTATTAATCAAACGTGCTTATAATAAGGAGAATTAAATTAAACTTTGATCCGGATTAATATCTGGACCTCTTTTAGGTTGTTTTTTTTTGTTAAACGTAATTCTTTTCTTTAAAAAGAGTGAGGTGTGCCATCTTAATTAAACCACCCATGGCCTCACAAATATTGTGACTTAGCTATTAAAAATGAATATTCGTAGAAAAGCCTTAGGCACGATTTAATCTACAATTGTGATTGTGTACACGTTCGCGTGACATAATTACGATTCTAAAAACCAAATCGGAGTATAAGTTCGCACAACTTCGACCAAACTTTCTCAATAATAATAAAATTGTTATTAATATAGTCCGCTTTAATTAAATATAGTTCTTTAAAAATAGACCGAGGTGTGCCATCCATAATTAAATCGCTATGGCCCTCTTGTTAAGTGTTGTAAAAATGATATTCGTAGTTTGCTTTAGGCACGTTTAATATACCATCGTGGTTGTGTATACGTTCGCGTGACATAATTACGATTCTAATAACAAAACCGGAGTATGGTTCACGCAACTTTGGCCAAACTTTTTTAATAATAATAAAGCGTTATTAATTGTGGACACATTCGCGTGACATGATTTTTGGCGCGCCAAACAAACGGGTACACGTGCGCGTGATCTGTTTTAAGATAATTTCTTAATTAAAAGAGGCAAATGTGCATAGGTTCAAAAATAAGTAATTAGACAATTTGATTAAGCCAAGTATGATCAAAGCGACCGTTCTAGGAATGCCTAACACCTTCTCCCGGGTTAACAGAATTCCTTACCCGATTTCTGTTTTTAGCAGACATTAAATCAGAGTCAAATCTCCTCGAACCGGGGATTCTGAACCGGTGACTTGGGACACCATAAACTATCCCAAGTGGCGATCTGATCTTAAATAATAATTTCGTTTCCATTGTCATTTAAATTCGAAAAACTCCCTTATGTACCCCTGCCGGAGGTAGAAAAAGGAGGTGTGACAATGAATGACAAACTTAGAATTGATATTCCCCTTGAGAACCGGATCTCCACATTGTTCCCCCTACGAATTAGCCATATCCCCCCTAAGAACCAAACCTAAGGAACTGATCACAACTGGTTCCTCAAGATTGTTTATCAAAACACAAAATACCATAACTTATCAATTTTTCCCTTTTTGATAATGACTAACCCAGAATTAATATTTTCCCTAAGAATTAGATTCCTTACATGTACTAATCACATTTTGTCCGCACCCAGTTCCTTGAAAACGTTTGCCATCATCAAAATATGACACATCGTAACTTAGAGCAGATTTTAATTGGTTGTGACAACATCTCTCGGTTAGTACACATTGCATCTAGTCAAAAATATATTTTTTTTCTTCTAAAAGTTTGGTCAAACACCTTAATTTTAGAAAAAAAATAAATTTTTCCGAATACCAAAAGCTTGGTCAAATATTCTAACTTTAAAAAGATAACTTTTCCCAGGCCAAACAGGCTAGACATTTCGCGACTACTACATAAAGTGATCTCTCATGTATATAGTAGTATACTACTAGTATAGTAATGGTAAAGCACTGTTTCATAAGAAAATAGTCTACATCATAAACTTAGCTTCTAGAGCATGTTGTCTGCAGCTTGTGTCCTTTTCTTGTACATTAAGCCACTTAAACTTGTATCAGTTTGTAAGTCGATACATTAACTTATATTTTTCCCATTTGAACACTCCAACTTGACAAAATGGGTACTAATAAATACTTTTGACCGTTGACCATGCCTATGTGAAAGTACTGCAACTGACATGGCTAAACTGTGTGCAAATCACGCTGTCAGGGCGCGTGAATAGTATTGTTTTTACTAAAAAAATTAGAATTAGGATAAAATATAAATAAAAAAGAGAATGAAAAAGAAAAAAAAGACTTCCCCTTTCCTCATCTCTTTTCCCCTCCCCCTCCAGCTCTTTCGTCTTCCCAGCAAAACTCCCACCCAATTTTTTTCATTTGCTTCCCCCCTCCTCTTTCTTATTTCTTTTTCCCTTCATCTTCCCCTTCAATAATTTTTTCTAGTCTCCACCCACTATTTTCGTCCCAACATTCCTCAACCACCGGTGGTCGAAAGAAAGCTTGAGCTTTGTCGTTGTTCTATCATCGAATTCATCTTTGTCAAAATAGCAGGGGAAAAAAGGAAAATTTGCAATGATATTGGGCGACCTCCAATTTCAAAGCCATGGATGTCTGTTTTTTTATTTTTTTGAAACTCCATTTTTTTATTTATTGTTATGGTCTAATCATGACCGTAGTAATGTTGTGAATTTGATTTAGAAATAAGAGAGAAAGAATAATGAAGAAAAAGAGAAAGGAGAAGAAAGGAGAGTAAAGAAAGGAAGGGGAGAGGGTGAACGAAGAAGAAGGGGCAACAGATTAATACTAGATATGTTTCAGGTGTTTTTTCTCTTTTTTTTTCTTTTTTGTATTTGTAACTTTTTTGCTGATTTTGTATTTAAAAATGGGACCCACAAATAACACATGACAAGTAATAAATAGTTTAGCATGACATGTTTTATATGCCAGCGCAATTGATGTACACGCTCTGATGGATGTGTTTATTAGTACCCATTTTGTCAAGTTGGAGTATTCAAATAGGAAAAATATAAGTTAATGTATCGGTTTTGCAAACTGATACAAGTTTAAGTGGCCACGAAGCCAATTGGCCTTATTATTATCATGTAGTTTTTTGAACTTAATATATGCATGAGAACATTGACACGTATCTTTTTGTGCAGTAGCACTGCCATACTTTTTCTTAACGGTGTCTAACGGGTGGGCCGGGCTGGGCTGAGTAGGAAAATTTAGGAACCGTACGGGTTGCGGTCCGGGTCGGTTACGGGTTGGAGCTTATCGGGTTTAACGGGTTCGGGTTCATCCAGATAAAAAATGAACCGTAAGGGTTACGGGTACAAGAGGCCGGGCCGGGTTAGTGTAATTTTTAATATTTATTTTTTTTTTGTATTTTGTTTTTGTATAACTATTGTAAGTTATATTAATATAAAGTAAAAATATAAAGAATACAATGAAGATGGGAAAAAATTGCACTTATAAATTGCAAGTGCTACATTTATTTTAAAATTCAAACTTACAAATTGAAAGGTTTACATTTAACAACAAGTAAATTAACGAAAAAAGAGTAAATCCAAAGGCCCCATTATTAAAATAATTAAAAAAAAAAATTAAGTTAGCCATTATACCGGTCTGGTCCGGCTCGGTTAACCGGTTGAATAGTAAAAACAGTTGACCGGGTTTGACCGGTCCGGTTAACCGATAGGAATTAAGTAGACGGAACAACCCCTTACCCCTTTAACCCAGCCCTACCCGGCCTCCTTCTACCGGTCCGGGCCGGTTCCGATTTTAACCGATGTGGGCCGGTCCGGAAACGGGCTGACCCGGCCCGTTAGACACCCATACTTTTTCTCCTATTTATTGGATAGTTCAAAACTGTAAGGTATAATTTTAAAGTAATGCTAATTTTGTTACGTTACAGTTAAATAATTATTTGGACTCTAAAGCATGTGAAACGTAGATTTGTTTTTTTTTTGTTGTGAAATAGCATTGCCCTAATTCTCCTATGTATTGGACAGTTCGAAACTGTAAGGTAATTGAAGTATAAGAAAAATCATTTAGGTACAGGACTAAGAACTATTTCCTTACTTTATAGGAGTAGATTATAAAATGGAAAGCTTACTTTAATCTAAAGATAAACGAAGAAACAGAAGAGATATAAAATAAATTTCATTAACATCTGATCAAGCAGGGAATTCAGATTCCACAACGTATACTGTTAACGTCGTCAACCTAAGGTTTACTTGCGGTTTCTCCGTCTATCATCAGTTAGAAGTAGAAACTATACGCTACCGAAAGGACGCACTATAATCCCGTGTGTCCTCACCTTTATCAGCCGCCATAAGGAGAGTAAAGTAAACAAAGATAAAAAGAAAAAAAACCCCGGGCCTACTTGCTGTTGGTCATCATCTTCTTAAACTCATCAAAGTTAACGTAACCGTCGCCGTCAGCATCGACGGAGCTGATCATTTTGGTACAGTCCTGAACGGAGCAGCTTTCGCCCAAACGAGTCAGGATCTGGTGGAGCTCGGCGGCGGAGATCAAGCCGTTATTGTCCTGATCGTAGAGGTCAAAGGCTTCACGAAGCTCGTTAACGCCGCCGTCACCGACGCCATTAACGTCGCCCTTGCAGAACTCGGCAAATTCATCGAGATTAATGTAACCGTCTCTGTCGGTATCAATTTCGTCCATCATACGAGTGACTTCATCGGGAGATGTATCAGATCCAAGGGCATTAATGACGCCGGAGAGCTCGTCGGCGGAGATCATGCCGTCTCCGTTAGTGTCGAACCGTTTGAACACTTTCTGGACCTCGTCCATGTCCTGAAGGTAAAGGGAAGGCTTGGAAACTGAGTTGTTGTTGCTGTTGCCATTGTCTGTTGCAGCCATTGCCGTTGATTGAAAGAGGAATATGAGAAAGAGAAGACTTGTAGTGGTGGGTTTTGTATAATGGTGAAAATACGGGGTTTGTGTCTATATATAGGAGGGGAATGGTAAAAGCATATGAGGAACCACGCGAGAAGACACTGCGTTTGTGTGAAGAATAGCAAAGTGTACAATTCTTTCCTTTTTTGAAAGAAAAAAAAAAGACTAATAGTAATGGTTCAATTGTTTCGCTTTTTAATTCTTTAATATTCTAAATTCGCTAATTTAGATATTTTTTTCCATACTAATTTAGATTCAAGTAGAGTAGGTAGAGAGTAAAGCACTTCCTTTTAAGATTTTTTTAATGACTTGAACCCGAAATCTATAGTTAAAGATTGAAGAATTTTTTACTATTCCGTCACACTCCTTTGGTAGTCAAATCTTTCTATTATAATTTGAGCTATTATTTTTTAAAATTTATTTAGTCATTTAATTTAAAAAGTTCACTTGATATTTTTATTTTTACTGATCTCTTCTTGTTTGTACTTTATATTTAAATATGAATTATGTTTCCGAAAGAAAATTTGGTGAATTACTCTTATTTTGCTGCTTTTATTTTTTTGGTAATAACTGGGAAAATTATCATTAACAACAAAAAAATTTACACCTAGAGAGCACCTAGTATTTGCTAGGACTCATGAGATCTCTTCTAATTATATATCCGAGTAAATAATAATTGACATTTACTGTGAAATTGTAAAATTGATGGGAGAAACACGAGCTCAGTGGAAACTCCAATGGAGAAATCACAGAATGTACAGATAAGAAGAAAACGTGAGTGAAGCTTCTAGAAAAGGAACTGCGTTTTTCATTTCAACAACTCAACTGAAAAAATACAATAGTGTCCTTATTTATAGAATTTACTAACACCTTAGGCTAGCTAAGTAACTAATGACAGCTCACTAACTAATTCTACTAACTACTGTAATGGTTGTACAAGTAATGAATAAAAAAATAAATATAATACAATGAGTAATCTCAACACCTCCTCCCCCCCCCCCCCCTCTTAAGTTGGAGGTGAGGGGCTCACTGCCAACTTGCCAAGAAGTGTGGAATGTTTGAAACCTGTTAAAGACTTAGTGAAAATGTGAGCTAATTGGTTATTGGTAGAAATGTGGTGTAGGGAAATTAATCCTTCTTGCAGTTGGTCTCACACAAAGTGGCAGTCCACTTCAATATGTTTTGTACGCTCGTGGAACACAGGATTCCTTGTTATGTGTAGGGCAGCTTGACTGTCGCAGAATATGGGAATGGGTAAGGATAGAGGAACAGTGAGTTTAGCAAGAAGCCTGGCCAGCCAGACAAGTTCTCCCACAACGATCTTAGCTGATCTGTACTCAGCTTCTGCAGAGGATAAGGAAATGGTGGACTCCTTCTTAGATTTCCAACTGATGGGGCTGTTCCCAAGCAACACTATGTAGCCACTGACTGATTTTCTGGATTTGGGACAAGTAGCCCAATCTGAATCACAAAAGGCTTTCACTCTGTAATCTGCATCATTGGTAAGGAAAATTCCCAAGGTTGGATCACCTCTCAAGTACCTTAGGACATGATATGCAACCTTTAAATGAGGCTCCCTGGGACTTTGCATGAACTGACTAAGATGATGTACACTATAAGCGATGTCTAGCCTAGTATAAGTGAGGAAGTTGAGCTTTCCAATCAACTTCCTGTATTGGGAAGGATCTGTTAATAGGGCTCCTTCATCAGCTTTTAACCTCATAGATGAGCCCAGAGGAGAAGTCATAAGAGGACAATCTATGCAGCCAAATTCTTTCAAAAGATCCATAGTGAATTTCTTCTATGACATCAAAACTCCCTTCTCTGTGTATTGGACCTCTAAACCTAGGAAGTAATGAAGCCTCCCCAGGTCTTTTATCTTGAATGTGTTGTGCAGGAAGTTCTTCAAGGACTCAATCTCTTGTAGGTGAGTGCCTATGACAAGAACATCATCTACATAGGCAGCCACAAACACTACTGATCCTTCAGTCTTCTTATAGAACAGAGAGTAATCAAGCATTGAGTGAGTGTACTCCCTAGAACATAGTGCTTCAGTTAATTTCTCATACCACTGTCTGCTTGCTTGCTTGAGTCCATACCGGGATTTGTTTAATTTGCACATTAAACATGGTCTCTCCACAACCAGCCCTCGTGGAACTTCCATGGAGGTCTCCATGGAGGAATGCATTGTTGACATCCAACTGTAGAACCTGCCATGCTTTCTTGACTGTTGTAGCTATCAAGGCCCTCATAGTTGTCATTTTTACTACTGTTGAGAAGGTTTCTGTATAGTCTATCCCAGCTTGTTGTGTGTAGCCCTTAATCACTAATCTTGCTTTAAACCTTTCTATGCTACCATCTGATTTATGTTTGATTTTATACACCCACCTACACCCTATTGCCTTCTTCTCAATAGGAAGAGGGACTAAATCCGAAGTCTTATTTGTATACAAGGCTTGGAATTCCTGATTCATTGTTGCTTGCCAAGCAGGCTTCACAGTAGCTTCCTCATATGAACTAGGTTCACATTCATGTGAGGCATCTTCCATCAAATGCTGACCGGTAGAATTTAGAGCATTGAAGGAATTATGATCAAGTTTAGGCATAGAGGTGGTAAAAGAAAAAGATTGTGTACTTTGGCTATCATTTGGAGAGGAGGACTGATGTTGGTGAATTTGCTATAGTTTAGGAATTGCATACTCATAGTCTTTAAGGTAAGTAGGAACTTTCGGGATCCTAGAAGGTCTATTCTGATCTGGAACTGAAATGCTTTGGTCTTGAGTTGAAATAGTTGGACTATTAGTAACAGGAAATGTTCCTGATGTTTGACTACTCAAAGGTGACTGAGAAAATCTTGAGTTATTATCAAAAGAAATGGGTTGAGGTGACATTGGGTCTGATTCAAACAGTTGTTCATCCCTAGGCAAGGTCACTGGTGACACTTCATGGTGATTTTCATTCACTAAGTGCGGGACGCTCCCTATATCATTGGCAGGAAAGAATTCATCTGATGGATATGATCTCATTTGAGGAAATGAAGGGAATACCTTACTAGGACTAGTAGACAGGGCAAATGGATACACACTTTCATAGAACACTACATCTCTTGAAACACTTATTTTCTTTGTGGCTATATTTAGTACCTTGTAACCTTTTCTCCCAAAAGGATATCCCACAAAAATATGGGGGAGTGTATCTTGGCTCAAATTTATCTTTGTGGGTTCTAGGAGTAGTAGGAAAACATAAACACCCAAAACTTCTAAGAAGGAAATAACTTGGTTTCTTCTGGTACAATAGTTCAAATGGGCATTTAGCTTTGAGTGATGAAGAGGGTAATCTATTTATCAGATAGGTAGATGTCAAGATACACTCTCCCCAATATTGCATGGGAAATTTAGACTGATATAGGAGTACCCTGGCTGTTTCTAGTAGGTATTTATGTTTTCTTTCCACCATACCATTTTGTTGTGGTGTATATGGGTATGTTTTTTTTTATGTATGCTGCCCTTTGATAGGAAAAATGAGGTGGCTTCAGGGTTGGTGAACTCAAGGCCATTATCAGTTCTTATAGTTTTGATACTAGTGTTGAATTGGTGTTCTATCATGGCAGAAAAGGCCTTGATAGTGTGCGGGGAATTACTTTTACAACTCAACAAATGAGTCCATGTGGACCTGCTGTAATCATCCACAAGAGTGATGAAGTATTTATATTTGTGTGTTGTAACATGATATGGACCCCACAAGTCAATGTGTAATAACTCGGAGATCTTAGTGGTCAGTGTTGTTCATTCCAGGAAAGGCAGTCTGGTTTGTCTTGCCATTCGACATATAGGGCAAAGGAAAGGCTGTTTAGGTGCAAAATTGACAGGTATAGAAGAAATCCCTTTCATTTTGACAAAAGGTACATGTCCTAATCTGTTATGCCAAAAGATCAAGCAACTTCTTTGTAGTAGAGGAGGCATCAGACAAACAAAAATCACTTTTATTGCTTGAATTATTTACAGAATGATGAAAATGTGGAAGAGAACTATTCGTATCATTGCTGCGAGATGGAACAATCAAAGTAGATGCAACAGGAACAGTAGAATTTGGCTTATTTGTGCTAACTAAATGAGGAAAAGAAAATGAACTAGATGTGTTAACTACAGTGTATACCTCATCTTTATTACTAGTAAGACATGGATAGGATGCACTAAAAGAATCAGGGGAAGTAGAACCAGTGTTGTAGTTGTTTGAACAGTGTAAGTACTGGCTAGTCTTGGCCCTACCAATATCCATTGGCCTCTTCAGTGAAGGGCCCTGTAGAAGGATACAGACAAATTTGGTAACTATAACAATACAATTAAGTTGAAATGTAAAGGAATGGACTGATATTAAATTGAATTTGAAACTAGGGACCAAAAGGACCCTTTTGATACTGAACCTAGGACTGAGAATTACATCACCAATTAGTGTCATCTTAACTTTGTAACCATTAGGTAGAATAACCAGGTATGGGTAAACTAAAGTTTTGATATTGGTTAGTAGTGATTTATTATATGTCATATGCTTTGTGGCTCCAGAGTCAAGAATCCAAGAGTCAACACTCGAATTAGTATTATCACACAATTGATCACTAGAATTAAAATGAGTAGAGCATGCTGAGATACCTGCAAAGTTCACAGCTCCTCCATTTATAGTAGTGTTTGTGGATTTGTCTCCTCCTCCTTGAAAACTTTCCAAGATCCTGAGTAGCTGTCTATATTGTTCCTTAGTTAAATTGTGCATAGTTCGACCTTGCTCCTGACCTTGAGAGTTATTTCCATCATCTTTTATTGCAGCAACTTCACTTGATGATCCAAGCACATTTCCTGCAATCCTTCTTCCTTTGTTGAACTTGGAATTCTGTGAGAATCCGTGAAGTTTATAACATTTTTCCTTAGTGTGTCCTGGCCTTTTGCAGTACTCACAGAACAACCGAGGTCTATTATTGAATTGATTCCCCCTATATCCACTACTTGCGTTATTGTTTCCCTACTGAGTATAGTTTGTTCTGAAATTATTGTTTCCTGGTCCATTTGCATTCAAGGCAGCAGAATTCATTTAAAAGTGATTGCTTGGCTTGACTTTCCTTTGCTTTTCTTCTTGAATAAGAATAGACAAAGCCTGGGCTATTGTTGGGAATGGATTCATCATCAAAATTCTTCCTCTTACCACAGTGTACACCTCGTTTAGCCCCATTAGAAATTGGATCAATCTTCTGTCTTGCTCATCTTTGTGCATATTTTCTTTAGCTCCAAATGTGCATTTGCAAGCAGACTTGACATGTATGTTTAGTGTGTTGATCTCCTCCCAAAGCTTCTTCATTGTTGTGTAATATCCGGTCCAAATTCCCTTGACTCAAATCGTCTATCTCCTTTTGGAGCTGATACAATTTGGCAACATTGGTCTGATCATACATGTTTTTCAATTCCTGCCAAAGTTCTCTAGCATCATTAATATACTGTAGGCAGTCTGCTAGGTCCTTAGATAGTAAGTTTAAGATCTAGGAAGTCACCATGTCGTCGCACCGTTCCTATTGGTCGAGAGTGGTATAATAAGGATCTGATTTCTTACATTTTTCGGTGATGAAACCTACTTTGTTCTTCACGGAGAGTGCTCTGAGGATTCCTCTTCTCCATGATCTATAGCCAGTTCCGTCAAAATCCACCAGCACTAACATAGATCCAGCACTTTCCGACCGATGCATGTACAGCGGATTTGTAGAATCTAGGGTTGTCTTATCTGTCACCGGAATTTCGTCATCTCCGGCCATGATTTGGTTTAGCAAGGTAAAAAATATTGTCAGCGAAAAACGAATTACTGAGATTAATCGACTAATCGGTCGATTTTAAACATGAACCTTAATTCCCAAAAAACTACGAACACCTTCTATCTCTATGAGCGGAAAATCGAAATATGAAACAACGAGGCTCTAGGACTAATGCCTGAGCTCTGATACCATGTGAAATTATAAAACTGATGGGAGAAATACGAGCTCTGTGGAAGCTCCAATGGAGAAATCAGAAATTACAGAGAAGAAGAAAACGTGAGTGAAGCTTCTAGAAAGGGAGCTGGGCTTTTCATTTCAACAACTCAACTGAAAAAATACAATAGTGTCCTTATTTATAGAATTTACTAACACCTTAGGCTAGCTAACTAACTAATAGCAGCTCACTAACTAATTCTACTAAGTACTGTAATAGCTGTACAAGTAATGAATAAAAGAATAAACACAATATAATGAGTTATCTCAACAACGAGCTCTACCTGTATTTCTCATGCTATCTACTCTAGTCTTAACTTCTTGTTGTATCTTTGCTATTGTGAACTCTGTATTTACAGTTATATTCCTAAAGATTCTCCAATTCCTAGCTTGCCATGTATGGTATATCATAGCTCTCACATTGTTGCGACCATTTTTATTTAATTTTTTATCTTTTTTTTAAAATAAAACTCTTCTCAAAGGGTTCTTTTTTTTCTTTGTTGCCCGTTAAGAAATCAACTAAATAAGATGCTCATTATCTTTTTAGAGTGTCATTTTCTATGTATGATTCGAGGGAGTGGGATACTACCCCTCCGTCTCTCATTACTGATATATGCGTTTTTGATTTGAATCATACATGATGAAAACCTTTTCAAAAAAGTACTAATATCGGACTTTTCTAATGATTAAGAAGATATGGAATATATTTTCCTCTCAGATTAATAACAATAATAGTTATCTCAATTATTTGTCACTTTAGAAGTTCAAGACAAAATTAATTTTTTTTTTCTTTTTTGCCCTTAGTAATAATTATCCTTGAAGACTACAAACACCTAACTTTATTCAAATACCAATGAAGAAAGATTAAATATTAAGACATGAATAAGGATAAAGTAGTCTAAATTCTATCCTAATTAATTTTTTATGGGGCGTGTATAAAAGAATCATGACAGATAATATGAGACGGAGGAAGTAAAATATTATATTCTGCTTTACTTTTCTCTCTGCTCAAGCTTTGATTAATTAGCCAGAAATAGTTTAGCTAGCGTTTGGCCATAGATCCCAGATTTATTTTGAAAAATTTGATTTGGATGAAGTTTGGTTTGAAGGTGAAAATGTGTTTGGACATACGTTTTCAAAACATATTTTCCAACTTTATTTTGGAAAAACATGTATATAATTCCCAAGTTTTGGAATTTTGGCCCAAAATCAGCTTAACAGCTGATTTTGGGATTTGAAATTTGGGACTTGGAATTTGACCAAAATATGAGCAAAATTTATGGCCAAACATGAGTTTTGAAAATAAATCCCAAATTTATTTTGGGAAAATTCATGGCCAAACAGGGCCTTAATGATAATAAAGGCATCCTTAAAAGAAAAGATTGGGAAATACTAGGAAATTTCATGAGAGGGAAGGACCACCAAGTGGATGCCCATGTCATTAGGCGTGTGTAAGACGCGTTGGGCCCTAAATATAGAGGAAAGCGACCTTATCTCTTTTTCATCGCTATTGCCTTATAAAGTTCGAATTTGGCAACTGCTTCATCATTCAACACTTGTCTATTGACGATGCCATTCTAATTCGAGTATTAATCAACGCTTAGAATGTATGATTGCTTCAAGCAAGCAATTCTAATTAGAACTATAATTTTTTTCTTTTCAGTTATAGACGCATATATGTTCATTCAATTTGGTTTTCATTCTTCGAGTGTTGTGTCTAGTTCAATTGCGGCAAGGCAAATGATGAGGATATTTTTCATTTTTAATGGACTTAATGATAGAATAATGCTTTGTGTGAGGTTGTAGTGCTTAGTTCCAACCTCCAACTAGGTATAGTATAGTTCGAATAGCATTTTACCTTCTTCAAACAGTTAATAGGATAAAAGAAAAGGACAACAACTATATTCAATTTAGTTAAGTACGTAACGATGTTCTTAGAATCAAAAAAAAAATTAGAAGAGAAAGAACTTTATCAGTTCGAGGAAAAAGTTAAGTTAAATTGGGAACAATATAGTTTTTTAAAACTATATCCAAAATACGTTATTCCTTGACCATGTAAGAAATCTATCCTGATGTAAAGCTTACCTCACTCGACATTTACATCAATTTAATATATGCGTGACATATATTTACACACGGTCTTCTCACTTAATATGGGTATCCTATGACTTTATGAGGCAAATTGGAGAAATTACTGTTAAGATAACAAATGCAACCTAATTTTCGTCCATTTTTTGAGTGACCATATGTACTCTGTTTAAATATACCTAATTTTTTTCCAAGTTAACCGAAATACCAAAACTCATGTCATAAATGGTCCTCCGAACTATGCCGACGCCTTTATTCAAAAGTCAAACAATGAGTTTCAAGTTAGAACTTCTCTTTAGACTTGCCCAAAAAATGCAAACCTTTACAAGACTAATTTATTCTCTGGTTTAGAATCAAAGCTTAATATTTGGCAAGGAATATTACCTTACCAACAACGTAATTAACGGCTTTTACTTTAATCTATCCTTTTGAGAACCTAAAAATTTGGGTTCACGCATTTGTCCATGTTCATTCAGCTAATTCCCAGTAATTAGATCGCCCATATGCATGTACAGTTTTCTTACGGTTGGTGCTCCCTCCGGTCCACTTTGAGTGATTTTTTAATTATTTTCACATATATTAAGGAATTCACCTTTTAGCATTAATTAACAATATGATTGACCATATTAACCTTCATTTGTTCATTGGAAATATAACAAATATTCCTAGGCTCTTATGATTACATATACATATACGCAAATTATGATTACACCAAATACCTTTTTTTAATTTTATTTTATACACCAAAAAGAATATTCATTCAATTATTAAGTATGACAGCTAGGAAAAACAAGCAAATTTCTGGCCCTCACTGTCAATGGTCGTCATTGGAAAAAAGAAAAAAAGAAAAAAAGAAAGAGAAGGGAGTCATCTATCATGGCTATACGATCTTTGAATACCATGAAACTAAAATATTGACCATCAAGTGGTCAACAGAAACATGAAACTGCTGCTGAATGAAGGGCCACAACAAAATATCTTTTAACTGCCCTGATATAATTCGAAATGTTATTGTAAATGTCTTTCAACACAGGGATAATCTTCAGAAGATCCCCGTACGGATGACACAACTTGCAATCGGTTAACTATCTCGCTTCGTGATATACATGTAGATTGTTAAGACCAGACGTCTCAGAGATTGCATATGGTGTTTTCACTAAAACCAACAATCTATCTTCCTCTGTTTCCGACAACAAACAGAGACCAAAAGCAAAAGTTACTTCCACGTCGAACTAATCCTCTTACTAAAAGTTTGAAATCCCAACACCGACACTCACAATCACATACCTTTTACAGTGAATGCACTAGTTTTAAAATGTCATAAAGGAAATAGACATCCAGGCTAGTATAAAATTTGGCATCTCAAGTTTTCAACCTTGTGCAGGAGGTGGAGGGGGTGGCTGCATCGACATATGTGGCATGGAATGGTAGGGGCCACCATTAAGGTGCTGAGGTGGTGGAGGAGGACGCCAAACCTGAGCGCCCATTGCAGCTGGTGCTGGAGGGGGCCTATTTAGGGGTGGAGCTACCTGTGGGGGCGGTGGTGGCATTCCCCTGAATTGCATTTGCTGCTGCGGAATGCCAGCTCCACCTGGTTGCATAGGATGTCCCTGCCAAGCTTGTGGTGCAGGCATTTGCATTGGTGGGTAGACATTAGGCTGCATAGGTGGTGGCCGGATTGCTGGAATAGGAGCTGGAGGTATAGGACCATTTGCAAAAGGCCGTGGGGGACCTGGAGTACCAACCGCACCATTGGCTTGTGGAACGCTGGGGGGTCCACTTGCAAACATGGTATGAGGCCTGTTTTTCTGAGTACCTGGATTACTAGCAGCTAAAACCCTTTCTGCATATCATCAACAACAAATTAGAATTCCTCGAAGTGGTTAGAGAAGTAACGATTACATAATTCAAAGAGATAATAAAGTTCCTGAAATTTCAAACAGCAGAGAAGATGCACAATAGCCACTCGTGCATTTTAAAAAAGCCACCTCGCTCATTCACTTCACCTTGTCACTTACTTCTAAGAATTTCAAAATATTAGCTATCTTAAATTTAATTGATATATCAAATTTGTTGGAACAGCACAAGCAAAACAGAGTTCAACAATCTTGATTGAATGATAATTATCCACATCCTAGCATTCACAACTTCATTTTTTTATAACACAGAAGATTCCTACCAGCAGGGGTGCCATGACGTTCCCCTTTTGTATCTTTCTTGTAGGCATAGGAAACTGTAATTTGACGGTTGCAAAGATATTGACCATTCATTGCCTGCAGAAACACCAAGTTGTAAGTCACAGTCCAGATTCATCAGCTAAAGGGAGAATTTAGTTGTTCAGTCTCTTAGACTCAAGACTGCCCAATATAAATTTTCCCTTAAGTTGTTCTGTCCCTTGGATGCAAGGTCAAGCTATAATCCAGGGATCTAACACAAATGCAAGCTCTGAAGCCAAGGAGTAGGGAAGAGAAGGAAAGATGCAGAGAATTAAGGTATTTTAGCACTACAGTGAGATAACCCATACTATCACCATTGATCCATAGTAATGCATTATACTGCAAAGTAATACTGTAGTTATTTTGTCACGAAAGCACTACTAGAATCCTAAGACCATAAAGCACATATGCAAACTCTGAGGCTACGTAGTGGGGAGAAAGGAAAGATGTATATGTTTCAAGTATTTTACGCACAATAGAGAGAAAACACGTACTACCACCACTGATCCAAAATGATGTTACCATTATCTACGGGTACATTTTTTATTTATATGTGGTTGTTAAATTACATATTTTTTAAGAAAGCCAAGCTTCCATCTCCCATGCCATGTCAGACACAAATAATTTACTGCTAAAGGTTTCCAGACACAGCCCGTTTATTACCAACTTGGAGATGCATCAGCCTCAGATCATATTTGAACGATTGATTGTCGTAACTATTTAACCAGTTGACCTGTCTTTCTGGAATTTAAAGAAAGCGTCAAACGTTGTGATTGTATTATGACTAAACCAGATAAATTAATAGCATAAACCAAACAGGAAAATACTCCACTTCTAACCCAGTACACCCTCCATATCATGCAAATAGCTATCTTCTCCAATCTGATTAGAAATGTATCCTAATTTATAATCGACTTTAAAGAAGATAGGACTCCATACACAGCACAGGCTCCAAGTCGAAACAATAGCTAATACTTAAAGTTCGAACTTTTTGGACTTGTAACTCATAACATATCATGTATCTGTACATGTTATGGTTGGTAAGCAAAGAGGTAAACGGACAGTTACCTCAATTGCTGCATCAGAGGCCTCAAATGAATCGTAACTAATGAAACCAAAACCCCGGGAATTCCCTGTCTCAGGGTCTCTCATTATCTGGAAAAAAAAAATAATACATCAGAAGATAACAACAACCACCACCTTTAAATGGCAAGTAAACTAACTATGTGGTCCTAGTAAAATGTAGAGTGCTATATGAACCAATATACGCATAGTTATAGAGAAAAACAATATGTGCACTGTTTATCATTCAAGCTGGTCTAGCATGTTAATATGAATCACTAGCTAAGTAAGGAGGGCAATCATTAATAACACTGCAAACATGAAGGGACCATCTCTTTATACCTCCCACACCACCTGGAGAAAGAAAAGAAAGGACAAGAGAGAACCTGTAGGAATCAACTTTAAAAGGGCTAGATGTTTGTTTAGAGGATGTACAAATACAATATCTCTACCAGATTGTTAGGATTTAAAAACATAATCTGAAGCATGGACACAAAATAAACGAGACTTAATCAGCACGGATGGCTAGGAAGTCCAGACACACATCTTTCAAAGCAGCAAAATGAAGAATCATGAATCATATGAAAGTAGAAGGGAAATGACTTTAACCTTTGGATTTGAGACAATAACTCCAAAAGCACTAAAAGTGTCATATAGAAGCTTCTCATCAACATCCTGCATATAAAACAGAAGTGGATTTATAAGCTAACAGAACTGCTAGCATGAGCAGTGTGATAATATGCAGGTGATGTTATACACCTAAATAAAAGCTGATATCCTATGTCTACGTCCAGACACTTTGGATAAGAATAGCACAAGAGTTAGTAAAATACTGTCAAAGATATCTACTGCTTACAGGATCAAGGTTCCCAACAAACAAGTTGGCACCAACATCAACACTCTTTTTATCTTGTGATGCCTGTACGAGGATAACTTATTAGATTAAATAGAATGTGAAATATGTGGGACAATTCATTATAGAAAGGGGAGATGCATCAATGGCATAGCATTACCTTATTCACTCTTATTGGTTTCCCATAAAGTTTAATCATATTCAGTACCTTTATTGCCTGCATTGGTAGTGCTTTAGAGAGAGAAAACAAGGAATAGGAAAACCAAATCCATGGTAAAAGATTATAACAGATAACGAGACACTAGCAAGTAAAAAGAGAGTAACAAGAAAAACAACTAACACATACATAGTCAGCATCTTCTTCACTTCGGAATTCCACAAAGCCATATCCCTGATGAGCATTAGTAACTCTGTCCTTAGGGACATAAACATTGACTGCAACACATAATGATTTATATAGCGAACAAGTGAGATTTAAAAGAATCTAAATTTCCCAAAAGATTAAGAAAAAGGATAAGAAGATGCTGATGAAAAATTTAAAACCAAAGTGGATGTTAAACAAATTTATCAAGAAGCTCCACTGATTTACTCCCTTTTTATGGGGACAGGGGGTTCAGTTAAAAATTTAGACATACCTACTGGACCTGCTTGAACAAACAACTCCCATAACAACTCTTCAGAAACCTGAATCCAGGGAAAACAACTCTCAATTTTCTGAGTAATTCAACCTTGAAAGCAAAGCAAAACAAAACTACAAAAGCAGAAAAGCAGGGAGGAGTTTGTGGAAGGTACACCAGCATCAAATTGGAGCAACAACTGGAAAAAGATGTTTCATTTATAGGAGGAAGCTAGTCATACTAAGGTTAATGATATTGGAAGGAGCAAAAAAACCTAAATCTATCAGCATAAAAGGAAAAAGAAGCACAAACTATTGCGGGAGATAATTATTCACACCAGAGAAGAAGTTCAGCATTAATGGTGGCAAATGGACATGTTGGGTCAATTTTGGGCGGGTTAAAACTGTGTTATCCCATTTTATACTTTCGCGAAGCTTAGTAAATTTAAAAGGAAAAGCTTTTACATGTATTCTTAGTGTCACACTGAGTCTTCGCGTTGTGTTTGAATCAGCTGCTTTTCTATTTAGTTAAGGAAGATCGAATAGAGTGGTGGAAAAGGATAAAACCCTAGGGGATTAGAAGGAATGAAAGAGATACCTGAGGGTCGAGGTTGCCGACATAGGCGGTGGCGTCTTGGTTGCGCTCCGCTGCGTGTTGGCCCAGCAGGTTTGCTCCCACTCCCGGAGCTATACGAGTCGTCATACTCAGAAAGAAGAATGCTCTGTGCAAGCAAACACTAAACAACACAAAGGCCCAAAAATAAAGGGCCAAATATCCAAATTCTCAACCGGGTCGGGTTATAAGTACGGCTTCTGCTATCCTCCAGTATAACGCAAAAGCCTTGGGCCCACTCCGGCCGGCGAGATAGGGCTTCCGTGAGAAGGCCGATCAATTGCTTTCCGACTCCGGTTTGTATTCCGACGTCATTCCCGGTACGTTATGTATACAATGATTTTATTAATTTGATTTTTTGCCGTCCTTCATGCACCAATAATACGGAAAAAATATTATAATATTATAAAAAGAAATTAAGGTGCTTGCTAGAATTATTATATAAAAAGATAGGATAAAAGATAAAATTGTTATAAATAGAATTCTATTAAAGGTGAATCTCTATATTTTAGAGAGATTGTAGGGATTACTTATAAATAGAGGGGTCATATTCCATTGTAGTTGATCTCAAAGCAATAAGAGTTCTTTCTCTACTTTTCTCTATAATACAGTTCTTTTCTTTTATTGTTTTATAACACGTTATCAGCACGAGACTCTAACCACTTCAGTAGAAGCTTTGGGGTTGAGCATAATGATTGTCAATTGTTCCATGAACTTCCTTCATGATTAAATTCTGAATTTAAGGTAAGTATTTAACCGTATTTTTCTCTTTTATTCTATAATTTGATTTTAAATACAAGCAAAGAAAATAAATTTTGATTATAACTCTAATGGAGTTAGTAAGAAATTATAACCACTCAAAGTGGTAAAATTTCTATATCTTGCCACGACCAAAGTCATGTATGATTGTGAGCACAAGAAGTGGAAACTCGTCCCATTGAATTTGCTTCATTCTCATTCCCTTAAGAGAATGTGGTAGCAATATGTGATAAGTCTGAAAGAAGACAAAATCATTACCGTGAAGGTATCAATAGATGTGGACGTGGTAATAGACGAAATTATAATCGTCATCATTATGATAATGAGAATAACAAGGATTCTCAAAATAATCACTCTGTGAAAGTAATGTTTGTCATCAATTTGACATGAGATTTTGTAAAGCACATATAAATGATTATGGTTCATTCATGATGTGCATGTAACAACATGTGATTTATTAATACATATTTATTTTTGGAAGAATATGAACGAGCTAGTGGTAGTGAATATACCACACTCACCTTTAGAAGGAGGTTTGAGATGATATAAGAAAATAATGTCATTATTATGGCATAAATGATCATTTGGTCACGTACTTATTGTACGCCAAGATATTTTGGCGTTGTGATTATTAAAAGACAACGGTAATGCAAGAAACAGATCTTGCATATAATTTTGACCATAACCATAATGATATAACTTTCTCTTTAAAAGAGATATTCACCATATGGATGTTGATGAATATGTGGTACTACAAAATTAATTGAGAACTCTGCAAGAGCCAATTATACTATTTTAGAGAAACACAATTGATTACCAATAAGGTATTGTGTTGTAGTAAGTCTCAAAGAAACTTATTCAGTTTCCAAAGTATACGCGAAAGCGGTTGATTATATTGAGACTATAAATAAAGGAAAGATTCAATATCTTCTATTACTGCAACTTGTATCAGGATAATATATATGTGAAAAGCTACCCGCTTTATTCTCTAGCTTGTACTACACAAATAAAAGAATACCACACTAAAGTGGAAGTTTATTGATATAAAAACCCATATCATACTAAACTTGAAGTTTATTGGTAATTGCACACCTCATGGTGTAAACTTGAAGTTTATCAATATTGATAATTTATTTAGGTGGCATAATTCATTTAGCCCTGTTGATTTAAGTATGATGTGCAAAAATAAAAGAGAATTCACACGGGTAAATATTAAAGAACTACAAAGTTCTTTATGAATTCTCTTATGTTGCTTGTTCTCATTAATTAATATCTCAACTAAAATTGGGATTGAATCCCATGAATGCTGGATCAAAGGTGAATGTGGGCCCATACACCTGCAATGCATACCACATAATATGCATCTATGAGATAGTTACATGTGCAATTATTATTAACCCGCAATACGGTATTTTGCGAGGTAACTTGCTCAATAATGTTATTTCGAGCATAATTTCCAGATTTTCTATTCAAGAAGTTCATCTTGATGAGTTGGTTTACATTACAGTTGATTTAGCAAAATAATTTATTGAGTGCCTCCACTTAATAGCTAAATTGTTGCTAATATGAACAAAGTTATCTATATCAGTTTGATATACGTTATATACGAAAGTATATTGCATTCTCCCCTCATAAGTGGTTCAGGGTCAGGAACCAAATAACTCATCTTATTATTATTGATGCGTGGTGTATATTTTCATTACACCATAATTCACAAAGATGGGTTCCCAAAATTGAGGAAGAAAGTTAGTTTTTCTAACATGGGGAGGAGACAGGAACAACAATTGAGAAAAAGTTCTGTGGAGTGAATTATCATTTCTACATCTAGATCTTCGAATAAGATAATATAAACCTGAAATTCATAAAAAGATAATTCATTTGCAATATATTGCAAAGCATGCCAGACGCATTTGCTGACCCAAAGAAAGTAACTATATTATCATTGCAAATGCTCTTATTAAGTCCTAGAAGGACAAAGTCTATGGTATGGTTAAAGCATATAGACAAATCGGTTTCAAATAAACTTCTTGATAAAGAAGATGAGCAAAAATGATCAAAATGATCATAATAAAGGAAGCAAGTGATCTAGAAGATCACATGACATAACACTTCATAAAATCTCATGATAGATTCAGGTACCTGAAAATATGAATGAAGAGATCTCTATGTTATGTCTATATAAAAATTAGGAGGTTGAAACCGATATAAAATATTTGTCGACGACATCTATAATAGCGTTAAATATATATGATGATCTTAAGTTTGAAGAAAGAATTAAAATAGAATTGGTTTCATATGAAAGACATGTAGTTTAAACATGTAGTTCAAACACTTGAAAGTATATAGTCAGTGGTATGTGCAATCAGTTTTCGATATCTTATATGTCTAGCATGACATGAAAACTTGATATGCATCTAAAGTCTATTATATGTCTTATATGACAATCCATGAAGGATTTAAGTTGCTTGAAGCATACGCAATTCTTGATCTTGAAGTACTACTTACTCAGTGCAATTTGTGCACAAATATATCTTGCTATAACTATAGGCATGATAATATGATAGCAAGAGTTTTCACCTCTATGTGAAGATATTGAACTGACGATTCCAACAAGATCATATAAAGACAATACATCTATTAGGGATGAGGATTTCAAGGTGAAACAAATTCGTTCAAGTTAATATGGCTGATTTGTTTATCAAATCTCTACCAAAGATCTTTTGAAGATGGTGCACAAGATTGGAATGCAAATGCTTAAAATATGTGAATTGATGCTCTCATCAAGGGGAGTTAATACGCGTTGTAATCTTTTTCCCTTACAAAATTTTGTCCAACTGGATTTTCCTTGCAAGGCTTCTAACGAGGCAACCAAAAAGCGCATAGTTAGATATGTGTACTATTTTTCCTTCACTAGAATTTTTTTTCCACTGGGTTTTATTTTAGTTAAGGTTTTAACGAGGCACATTATCTGTTGAATAGAAATTCAAGGGGGAGTGTTATAAATAGAGTTTTATTTAAGGTGAATGTTTGTATTTTAGAGAGATTGTAGGGATTTACTTGGTGCTTAAGTCACTCTTTTCCTATAAATAGAGTGGTCCTATTCTATTGTAATTGATCCCAAAGCAATGAGAGTTCTCTCTCTACTTTTCTCTGTTGTACACTTCTTCTTCTTTTATTGTTTTATAACAAAAATAAAATTACTTAATAATAAAGAAGCGCAAGATAAAAGGAAAAAAACCGATCGTTCCATAAAGTGCATATAATGATGGATTTAATGATACGACAAAATAAAATTTAAGTAACAATCAAAATAAATATTGTATTTAAAGTAACAATACCATACAATACAGTTTTGTTTACCCTTAAAATGAGTAACAATTAAATTTGTACGTTGTTTAAAAGATACGTGATTTAATTTAGGAAATTGCTTTACACCATATTTATTATAAATTAAACCGTTTTAAAATATTATTTTCTATAACTACCTTTCAATTTTATAGCAAAATATGTATTTATGGTCATTTCCTACCATTAAGCCATTAAAATACGCTGTCTAATATTTTTCTCTCTCATTCTTTCAGTTTATTCTCTCCCAAAATCACCGCATAATATCTTATTCTCTCTACAAGATCTCTCTCTCTCACAACGCTATTGTCTTCCCCATTGTTGAACCACAATTCTCCTTTATTTGCAGGTTCTCTCTCTAGATTGTTCTCAAACCTTAGAGTAGATTTGCTGGATTTCATCTCTGTTAACATGAGTTTCAAAATCTCTTGATCAAAGTTTCTGATATGAGTTGTATCTTTTCCCAAAGTGGAGCGGACATGGTCTATTCATAGCCGAATTGATTTTGAATGTTGACATGGAAGAAGAAAGGACGGAGGAGTTGGTGGCAGCGGCTAACGAGATTAGGATTAGGTTTGGGGAAATGGGTTAAACGATTCACATATAACAATTGAAATGTATTTGCAGGTTCATCAGCAACCATTGAAGTCGAAAGGAGAACAAAAATACGCAATGACCCTAATTATAGATGTATTTATATGTATTCGGATCCGCATACATTGATTTTTAGTTTGTACAGTGGTTTTCTCTTCTTGTATTTAGATGTATTTATATGTATTCGCTAAGGCATACATATTTATATAGTGGTTTTCTCTTCTTGTATTTAGATGTATTTATATGTATTCGATAAGGCATACACTGATTTTTATTTTGTACAGCGATTTTTGACTGTTGTATTTAGATGTATTTATATGTATTTGAGTTCATACAATAACATTTTTAAATATATTTTTAGTTCTATCATTTTGAAGTTATTCATAAATTAGTTATGCATTCAATCTAACTGTATTTATCTGTATTTTCAACATAACTGTATCCATCTGTATTTAAAACAATAACACAATGAAATACAGTAAAATACTCTCAATACAAATAGAAAATCAATGAATACAACCAATGAAATATACTCAATAAAGCAGTAATGCCATGTATTAGGAATAAATAAAAAATTGTGAATACAAAAATTAACTTGAATACATCGAACAATGTTAGAAAAAAACTTGAACTGTATCAGAAAAAA